TCTTTCATTACAAGGGCCTCCGCTAAGAACTCAGAAGGGTAGAAGAAAACTATTTTTCCTCCTCCATAATTCTATCTCGGGAAATCAAGTTCTGGGCAGAACAGTGAGGTTGGCTCAAGTGCCAACCAGTCCTGGCTGAGGGGAGGGAAGCTTCTTGGGGGAAATCAATGATATTGGCATCAAAGTAGGACAGAGGGCACATGCATGGTTGCTGGTCACAGTTTAAAGTGGTCCAACATTTTTGGAGGATGATTTGGTAAAATCGATAGAAATGTTCAAGGTACATCCGAGAGCCTTCTTCTAGGAATCACGTCTGCTAAGATAAAGCACGAGCGCATAGCTTGAGCGCACAAGCCCTGGTCAGAACCCAGGATGCTACTGTGGGCTCCCCTTCCACAACAGGAAAACCTGGGCACAACCTGCATTTTTAGGACAAGGCGGTATCCTATCTAATAAAAGACAAAAAGGGTAATTAAGCATACCTCCGCTATGCTTCCCATTGGCTAATCAGCAAGATATGCAAATTAACTGCCAACATAGATGGCGGCTGGCAGCCACCCAGCTGAAGCGAGCAGAAGGTTTGCTTGCTTCAGTGATGGAGGAAGCCAAGGTTCCCCGCCTGCCTCGGCCCGGCTCTAAGTTCCAAAAACAACAGTTCCAAAAGCAACAAAGTTTCAATTATAGAAGCTAAACAAATCCCAGATACCTGCTTTCAGCCAGCCGAGGCCTCAGAGCTGGGAGCACCAGTGAAGGCAACAGAGTTTCAATTATAGAAGGTAACTAAATCCCAGAATAAAAAAAAAGAAAAAGAAGAAAAGGAGAGGCTGGGAGTTTCAGTCACAGGCCAGCCTGAAAACAGCCCTCAGCCCCTCACCCAGACTGGCCAGGCACCTCAGTGGGGACCCCCACCCTGAAGGGGGTGTGGCCAGCCGAAAAACAGCCATCATCCCCTCATCCAGGCTGGCCAGGCACCCCAGTGGGGACCCCCACCCTGAAGGGGGTGTGACCAGCTGCAAACAGCCATCAGCCCCTCACCCAGGCTGGCCAGGCACCCAAGCGGGACCCCCACCCTTATCCGGGACACCCTTCAGGGTAAACCAGCCGGCCCCCACCTGTGCACCAGGCCTCTATCCTATATAGTAAAAGGATAATATGCAAACTGACCCTAACAGCAGAAAGACTGGGAATGACTGGTCACTATGACACACACTGACCACCAGGGGGCAGACGCTCAATGCAGGAGCTGCCCTCTGGTGGTCAGTGCGCCCCCACATGGGGGAGCTCTGCTCAGCCACAAGCCAGGCTGATGGCTGCCAGTATAGCAGTGGTGGTGGGAGCCTCTCCTGCCTCCTCAGCAGCGCTAAGGATGTCTGACTGCAGTTTAGGCCTGCTCCCCCCTGGCAAGTGGACATCCCCCGAGGGCTGCCGGGCTGCCAGAGGGATGTCTGATTGCCAGCTTAGGCCCAATCCCCCCCGGGGAGCAGGCCTAAGCCAGCAGGTGGTCATCCCCTGAGGGATCCCAGACTTCGAGAAGGCACAGGCTGGGCTGAGGGACACCCCCCCCCCCCGAATGCACAAATTTCTGTGCACCGGGCCTCTAGTCTACATAATAAAAGCATAATATGCTAATTAGACCAGACGACCTTCCAGACGAAGCCGGGGCTGCAGGGAAGCCCAGGTCCCAGGTGCCAGAGGGAAGCTGGTGCCGGCAGCCGGGGGAAGGAAAGCCTACTCTTGCATGAATTTCGTGCATCAGGCCTCTAGTAAATATATAACATCAAAGACCGGATTATCATGCAGCGGTTAAAACAAAATACAGCGAGTTGAAAACAATGTTTGTAATTTTTTAAGTGAAATATACATCACTCATGGACACATACTACTTAGACATAGACATAGAAGAAAGTATATGCATAAAATTGTTTTTTAAATATATTTTATTGATTTTTTACAGAGAGGAAGGGAGAGGGATAGAGAGTTAGAAACATCAATGAGAGAGAAACATCGGTCAGCTGCCTCCTGCATACTCCCTATTGGGGATGTGCCTGCAACCAAGGTACATGCCCTTGACCGGAATAGAACCTGGGACCCTTCAGTCCGCAAACTGACGCTTCATCCACTGAGCCAAACCGGCCAGGATTATGCATAAAATTTTTAATCGGAGCTTCCAGGGAGGGATTACTGTGATGCTGAAGAAAATTTTAACTTTAACATTCACATACTTCCATAATATAGTGAAATCCTAACTGAAAAGACAAGATTAAATAAATTTAAAATAAATGGAACAGGTTATTGTTATGGAGAAACAATGGTACAAATAATAGGACATGATCAAATTAAGAAAATGAATTTGGTAGTACAGGTGTTGGTAGTAAGAAATTTCTATCAAGGAGAATGTATAATGTTTTTCTGAAAAAAAAAAAAAGAAAAAAGCACGTTAAATGATTTTCTCTCTCCTTCCCTGCTAACAGTCACAATCCAAGTTTCTGGGTAAATGCAGCCGAGGTAGCAGGCAGAACCGAACATTAAACAACGAACAAAGGGGTCCTATGGGGAAGAGGTGTTTCAATATTAAGTTATGCCTTTAAGACCTAAAGAGAGCTATGGTGAAAAAAATGTTCTAGCTCCTTTTCAGATTAAAATAGGCTATGCTAATTCTGAACAATGCCAGCAGGCTGACTTCCCAGCTGCCCCACAGTCTAGTCTGGGGCGCTACCAGTCTGCAGGGTGCAGCCCGTCCGCCTACAAGGATGGCTGACACCGGCTTGTAGGGGAGTCTTGGGGACCAGCCTGTAGCCATCACCGCCTCCTGGGTGGGACAAGGAGGAGATGTGGTGTCTTTACGAACGGCTTCAGATCTCAAACCACAGCCGCCCACATCACCATCTGTTTCGTGCCATGTGGACCCTAAAAGAAAAATCCGGTTTGGTCCTAAAAATACTATTTTGCCTCACAAGGAACGAGACGTCTCCTTGGGCTCTGACTCCAGGGCCTCTGTTTTACATAACATTAATTAGAGATGCTAATTCTGTGCTGGAACGGTACAGCGGCCACACCCTCGAATATGAAATTGTAAACCTTACAATTCTGCCAAAATGTGTCATTTTATCCAAGCGTAGCAGTTTTAAATTGCTTATGGCCCAAGCCTCCCTGACCAGGAGTTCTAACTTGACTGGAGTCATAAGCTTGGACTGGAGTCAATCTTGCTCTTCCTTTGACTCACAGACCCCTCTTATTTAATAAGAAACCTACCATTTAATAATGAAATGTTCACATTTGACTTTGCAGGAAATAAAAATCCCCAAAATTGTTACTGAGATCTCAGGACAGACCTTTCCTATCAATGCAATGTTACTCAGCCCCAAATGCACCTGCCATCGCCTACCTGTGACACTGGATTATTTCTCCCTTGCCAGCTGGCAAGATTTTAAGTTTAGTCAATAGGTGGTGCTGAAGGGACCTTGGTGGAGGAAGGATCTTAGCTTGATCCAGGGCACTGGATCCTCTCCTGCGCCACCCCCCCCCCCCCCCGCCTCCCCCGCAGTGCACCAGCCATCCCACCCAGGGGGCCTTGCCCTCCAGCTTTCCAGCCCTAGCCCAGAAGCTCCCTGCCTGCCTGCCTGCCAGAAGCAAGAGGGGATTTCCTGCTTGCAGTGCCCTGCCTGCCAGCCTAGGCTCTCTGCTACCCTAGAGGGAGGACCCAACTCCTAGTCTTGATTAGGAGTTCCCTGCCACCAGCCCCTGTTCTGCACTGTGGACCGGCGCTGGCCCAGGACAACCCAAAGAGCTTCCTGGCCAATCACACCTTTCCAAGTGTGTTCCCTTCTTGGGTTCTGTCCCTTCAGCCTTAGGATATACTTTAGAACAGTGGTCGCCAACCTTTCGGACCTCGAGAACCACCAGTGGTCTGTGGACCACCGGTTGGCGACCGCTGATCCAAAGGTTTCCTTAAACTAGCGGTCGCCAACCTTTTGGACCTCATAGACCACCAGTGGTCCGCGGACCACCGGTTGGCAACTGCTGATCCAAAGGTTTCCTTAAACTAGCGGTCGCCAATCTTTTGGAAAACCTCACAGACCACCAGTGGTCTGTGGACCACCGGTTGGCGACCGCTGCTTTAGGATTCTCCTTTATACCTTCTTAGTAGCAAATATCTTGCAAATAGTTAATAACTCTCCCTATTAAATCATCACTGTTTAAATTACAGGGTAGTTTGTAACTCCAGACTGGACCCTGACTGGTAGCCATCCATTGAAGAAGGTAGCAGCTTTAAACCTCATGTTGGCTCTCAATGTAGTTCATTAATTTCATCATTCATTTCCCACAGTCAGTCCAGCACACTGCTAAACAGTTTATTTCAGACTTTCTCTTGTATCTTTTAAGCTTCAATTCAACCAACTTAACAGCAACTAACTACCAGAAGATGACATCAACTAATATTCATTAAGGAAAAGAGCTTCCTTCAAAATCCAAAATTTGCCGAAACCGGTTTGGCTCAGTGGATAGAGCGTCGGCCTGCAGACTGAAGGGTCCCAGGTTCGATTCCGGTCGGGGGCATGTACCTGGGTTGCGGGCATATCCCCAGTAGGAGATGTGCAGGAGGCAGCTGATCGATGTTTCTCTCTCATTGATGTTTCTAACTCTCTCTCTCCCTTCCTCTCTGTAAAAAATAAAATATATTTTAAAAAAAAATCCAAAATTTTAAATTTTTTGATTTACCCTCATGTTGATCTTGCTCACATTCTTTTCAGGTTAAAAGAAAAAGTCAGAATTGCCCATCACTAAAACACCTCCTCCAAACTTAATATATAACACAGGTATTCTTTATTTTAGATTTTATAGGTCAGTAATTTCCTTATCGTTATTGCCTTATCTTTTCTTTCTCTCAACAGACTAAAGCTGGAGATCAATTTGGAGACTTTACAACAATATTGAGTCTACTAGTTGATGAACATGGTATATCTCCCCATTTATGGTTCTCATACTATATGCCTTCTGAGTAAAAGCATGTATTGAAAATGGAACTAGCTGCATTGACATCTCTGGAGAACCTCAGTTTCTTGAACTAATGTATTGGAAGTATCATCAGAAAGCTGCAGAAAAAGGGGTTTATATCATTGGAAGCAGCAGCTTTGACTCCATTCCAGCAGATATGGGAGTAATATATACCAGCAATAAAATTAATGGTACTTTGACTGCGGTGGAAAGTTTCCTGACTATAAATTCAGGACCTGAGGGGTTGTGCATTCATGATGGTACCTGGAAGTCAGCAGTTTATGGTTTTGGAAATCAGAATCAATTGAAAAAACTACGAAATCAGTCAAATCTGAAACCTGTCCCAATTGTTGGTGCAAAATTAAAAAGAAGGTGGCCAGTCTCCTACTGCAGAGAACTCAGCAGTTACTCCATTCCTTTCCTGGGAGCGGATGTGTCTGTTGTGAAGCGAACTCAGCGTTACTTGCATGAAAATTTAGATCAATCACCTGTCCAGTATGCTGCTTACGTCACTGTGGGAGGCATCACCTCTGTTATTAAGCTGATGTTTGCAGGACTTTTCTTTTTATTGTTTGTGAAGTTTGGCATTGGAAGGCAGCTTCTCATAAGATTTCCATGGCTCTTCTCCTTTGGTTATTTTTCAAAACAAGGTCCAACACAAAAACAGATTGATGCTGCCTCATTTACAATGACATTTTTTGGTCAAGGATACAGCCATACCTGTCCTATTGAGAATAACAAGCCCAATATCAGAGTTTGTACTCAGGTGAAAGGACCAGAGGCTGGCTATATAGCTACCCCCATAGCCATGGTCCAGGCAGCCATGACCCTTCTAAATGATGTCTCTAATCTTCCTAGCGTGGGCGGCGTCTTCACACCTGGAGCCGCTTTCGCCAAAACAAAATTGATTGACAGACTCAACAAACGAGGCCTGGAATTTAGTGTCATTAGCAGCTCGGAAGTCTAAACAATTGAAGATTTTTCTGAAGTCATAAAGCGCATGAATTAACAGCTTTTTTATTTGAAATTCTTCTGTGAGCCTGTCTGGCTCTATGTGGAAAAGATTACCAAATCTAAAATATGTACACATTAAAAGCAGGAATTATACTAGCTTGCCCTAAATTTCAAATCTTACCTGATTTTGTGATTTTATTGCTTGTGAGAGAGAACTAATATTTGACTGACTTTTTCATTGAAGAATTCGTGGTCAATTTTTATAAGTGAGCTGGCAGATCAGAGGGTGGGAATGTCTTATCTGTGTTGCTAACAGATCCCTTAAGGAGGCACCCAGGCTGGTCGAGGCCTCACTGCTGATTTCCTTGCCATGACATTGAGTGGATCTTACTTTCTAGTGAGTTTCTCTACCCATGTGTGGCCCTTTGCCAAGTGAAACTGTACTTTGTTACTTTAGCGTAGTTTTCACCCGTCTACACAGATTGATTTTGGACTTACCCAAGTTGCATAATAAAGGATTGTCAATTGAAAAAAAAAAAAAAAACTCCTCTTGGAGGCAGATCAGGGCTATTGTGGGGGGTGGAAAGGGAGGTCAAGCAGGTGAAATTTATGTAAAAAATACATTACTAATATTTTTTTTGAAAACTATGGATACTGTAGCCTCCTTCTATAGGTGAAGAAGTGAATCCTGCTTAAGCATGTCCAATTACAAACAAAGACAAGTCTAGAAGTCAAGTCTTCCAACAAGCAGTCCAGAATGAGCTTTCATTCCAGAATTTATGTAAAAATACCTTTGACATACTTTTTACATTTACTATCTGTCATGACATAAAGTCATAAATTCCATAAATTTATCACAGATGGTTATATCACTTGCACTGGATTTAAACACAGTGTAATGCCAAGAGAAAGTGCTTTGAAGACAATAATTGGGTTTAAGCTGTGCTGGCTCCAGTTACAGGCAAGATTTGTGTATTATTTTAATGGAGGCAGTATGGAGCATTCAGGTCTACCAATGCTGTTCTTCAAACCCTGCTAGGAGGTGAATTCATAAATTACTGAAACATACCCTAATCTCCCCCCCTCCCCCGGGTTCAGTGGAATTAATACTAATATTCTAATTAAAGTACAGAGTGGGTGCTCGCTTCAGCAGCACACATACTAAAAATGGAATGATACAGAGAAGATTAGCATGGCCCCTGTGCCAGGATGACATGCAAATTTGTGAAGTGTTCCATATTTTCTTATGTAATACCTTAATCAATAAAGAAAATAAAAAGAAATCACACCTTGAAAAAAAATAGAAAGTATAAGAATATATTCTGCTGGTCAAATACATGTAAGTTATCAGGTCCCCAAAGACATGAAAAGTCTATAAAGTAATAGACTTTTCTATTTCTTTTAAAGTAATGTGTGAACTAGCTTTACTTGAAGACATTCTGCAGGAGATATTCTAGTGTCCTAAACTGGAAAGCCTGGATGACATCCAGGATGGACATCCCTTTCCCTGGTTTGCTCGCAAAGGTCTACACCATTATAATTTAAAAATAAGAAATAGAGCTCATTCAGTTAACAATGTAGTTAATGATTAGAATTTATATTCATAAGGTTTAACTACATTGAAGCTTATGAATGCTGAAGAAGCTCACTTTCTACCATCAAAGTATCACTGGAAAGTGCTATTAACATAAAGGCAAAGGAGATGTGTTGCCCATTTTACCTGTGTGCTGTTAATTCCATGATATTGAATCTTTTACAGGACTGCAGACTAGCATTTTATTTATATTAATTTCAAATCAATGACTCACAAATCCATTGACTATAAAAGTTTAGCAGTAATACATCTTCATAAAGCTTGGTTTGGGGGAAAGGGAAAGAAAAACATGATGTTCTCCCATGTGTGAAGGATAACATTTGGAGCACTTGAGACTTGCTTTACAGAGCAACACTTGATCGGTTTTTCTTAATATTCCATGTGTGTTTTGAAAGTGCTACTTTTTCTCCAAATTCCATAAAAATCTCCTTTAAAATGATAAAATTAAAATAAAGTACAGAGTGGAAGGGTAAAAAGAAAGTCTCTTTTTATATTCACATTTTTTAAAGAGAAAAAAGGAGGAAAAAAAAGAGTGACTACTGAAGGTACCTTCATGTTATGTTTTCATTATTAGTTTTATTTCTACAGCAGGTTATGCTGAGACACATGGTGAATAAAATCTCATTTGCTTTCTTCTTTATTTTCTGAGTGAATTTTTTATCTTCTCATCTGAAATGACAGGCTGGTATTATCAAAGCTGTGTATCCTGAGATTCGGTAGCAGACCTGAATTTTCTTTTTTCATTATTTTTGGTAGAACACACAGACTGTAGGGGTAAGCTATCAGCACCCATATATCTCCAAATTCTTACTAGGTTCCCTTAAGGGGCAAAGAAGATAATTAACCTGTCATCCTAGACAGTGTACCGTTCCTTCTCAATGTTTAAAATTTTTATCATAAAGAGATGAACCAGAACAAAGAAAAGGAAGCTTTTCTAACCAAAGCCACTGAAGAGCATAAAGGCAAATACTGAGTTCTCAGTAATTCTAAGACTAAAAACCAAAACCAGAACAATACACTCAAAACATAGTACTTTTGCCTGCTGACTTGTACTTGCTTTCTTCATTTAGTTACATATTTCTGAAAACTGATCTCCCATTTGACAGCCTTGCTCCTATAAACGTTATTCTAATGAAGACCAAAGAAATATAAATAAAATATTTGAGATTGATTTTCTTTAATCCTCACCTGAGGATATTTTTTCCATTGCTTTTTTGAGAGAGTGGAAGGAAGAGGGGAGGGGGAGGGGGAGAGAAAGAGGAAGGGGGGGGGAGAGGGAGAGGGAGAGGGAGAAACATCTATGTGAGAGAGACACATTGATTGGTTGCCTCCCACAAGAACCCTGAGCCCCAACTGGGCCAGAGACCAAACCTGCAACTCAGTTAGGTGCCCTTGACTAGGAATGGAACCCATGACCCTTTGGTGAGCAGGCCGATGCTCTAATCACTCAGCAGCACTGGCTGGGCTTGCATTGATTTTTACATGTGCCATTCTCTTAGTTTATATGTTCATCTTAGTTAATATGTTGAGTTTCCTGAAGCACAAGGAAGCATTCTGAATCAGTCCCTTCACAAGCTCCTCTTCTGGCCTTGTCTCTCAATGTGAAGACCTCATTTAAAATGTCTCCTTCGTTAAGGGTTGGAGAAAGACCCTCTGAAAATGAAATCTGATCTTTGTCTTCTTCTCCTTCCTAAAACATGTCCTGAATATTATCACACAGCAGCCTGGCATATGTGGGAGGAAAAAAGTCACAGTGCTCATCTCTGTCACTGGAGACCACCTTGATGAACTGCTTACACCAATGCCAATCTCAGCATCTTCTGTACCTGCAGGAGAGGCCACGTCCTTCTCATACTGTCTTGGATTCTATCCCAGTGCTATAAACAGAAGGCTTGGCCTCTCAGGCGTGGCTGACATCAGTGGAAATAACCTGGAATAAGTGGGCACATCAGCGAAAATAAAGCACAGCTGTTTGGAGGGCGGGATCACATGAGATGACAAAGGAAAATACTGAGCAGTGACATGGAAGTAGCCAATAGTAGGCATATTTGCCGTTCTTTTTACGTTAACATAGATAGGGCTTTGAACACTGAATTAAAAGTATAGACGAGATTCCTGGCATTTGTCAAGCTCAGTTCTTGGGCTTCAGGGTTACCCATGGAGGGTGAGTCAAGGTTGGAGGAATTGAGAGTTATGCTGTGTATCATTCAGCTCTCTAACTTTCTGAGCAAGCTGTTGGTTTAAAAAGAGGAAAAAAAATAAGAAAGAAAAAAACAACAACTTGCGTCATGTAGCATTTTCATGAATAAAATCATTACTTAAAATAACAGAAGACAACGAAACATATATACCAGAGAAAAAAATGCTATGCCCTGGCTGGGAGCTCAGCTGGTTAGAGTGACAGCTGTATACCAAAAGATTGTGGATTTGATCCCTGGTGGGGCATGTACAGGAGTAACCAATCAATAATTCTATCTCACATCAATGTCTCTATCTCCCCCCCTCTCTCTTTCTCTCTCTCTGTCTCTTTTCCCCACTGTCTCTTTCTCCCCCTTCATCTCTCTCTCTAACAATCAATTAAAAAACACACACACATATCCTTGGGTGATGATTAAAAAAAGCTAAGTGGTAGCTGAGACAGAATAGTTTTCTAGTAAATAATAATTCAATATTCATAAGTCAGAAAATACCTGTTGTAACATACAGACCATTCTTTATCTTAACACTCAAAAGTTAAAGGTTCACTGGTCTAGTAAAGTCACTGAGTTTAGCCCTAGCTGGTTTGGCTCAGTGGATAGAGCGTCGGCCTGCGGACTGAAGAGTCCCAGGTTCAATTCCAGTCAAGGGCACATGCCTGAGTTGCAGGCTCGATCCCCAGTAAGGGGGCTTGCAGAAGGCAGCCAATCAATGATTCTCTTTCATCATTGATGTTTCTATCTCTCCCTCTCCCTTACTCTCTGAAATCGATAAAAATATATTAAAAAAATAAAGTCACTAAGTTTATATGATGGACAGTATAGTATAGCGCCTCTTACCTTTTTTGAAATAATGTTGGTACAGGTCTGTTCAAATAAACGAGTGCTCCCATTTTAACCAATTCATGCCACATTAAATATGCAGGAAGAAGAAGGATCATCAGCAATGCCCCCAACCCTGTTCCCTACTCCCAAAGGAATGATTATAGGTTTTTGATGCCTCAACTTGATCTTGATACTGTACTGGCAGCACTTGGCTTGAGGATCTTTGCACTGCCCTGCCTAGCACAGCTTTCATTCAGTTGCCAGGCAATAAATATTTTTACTGCCTAAGTGTCTATTTCCTTCCACAAAGTGGCTCGCTGACAGAACTAAGACATAATTCCTGAAAGGGGAAATCTTCCTACTGACACAGAAGAAGAGAATGGCCTTTTTGGACAGCATTCCACTTTGATTCATCTACAGCATCATCCCTCCACCCCCGAATAGACTTTATTTTATAGAGCAGTTTCAGGTTCACAGCAAAACTGAGCAGAAGGTACATAGATTTCCCATATAATAGCATCTTTTCCTGTTACCAAAAAATTGAGCTTAATGTTTGAAAAGATATACCAACACTGTATTACTTTTGTTTAAAAACCTTTTTGCTAGATAGAAGATTATAATTTCACTAAAGTTAATGCCTTTTCCATTTCATATCCAATTAGACATCATGGTATCAGGAAGCTCACAGTTATGAGAAGGAGCCTCTCTATACACTATCTAATTATTTGTCTAAGCATATTTTTCATTATGAGGAAGAAAATTAATAAGGAATTGGCAATTTGATTAAGTTCCCTTATGGTTTAGATTCTGGATTTTCAGAGTGGCACATCCGACCAGTACTAAGTATTACAAAGAAAATTCAATGAAAATTGTGCCAAACTTCATCAAAGTAGACATTCCCTGAAGCCCACTGCTGGGCGTATCTTAGGC